AAGATTGGGTTTAGTTCCTACAAGGAATTAAATTCTTGGACCTTTGGACTTGAGATGACTTTAAGACTTGTGGCCTTCAATGCTCAGAATTCCCCAGCCAATTATGGGAGTTGAAGTCAACAGACATTAAAGTTGCCAAGATCCCTGGCATATATAGAATCTGTCAGAATAGTATATATGTCTACTTTTCCTTAAACTAGGGATCTCCAAGCTTGGCAACTTTTAAGAATTGTGGACTTCAATTCCCAGAATTACCTAGCCAGCACGGTCTTAAATTCACCAAGTTTGGAAACCCTTGATAAACTTTTAGAGCAGATAAATACAAAGTAATTCATGTGTTAATTCATAATTTTTTGTCTATTATTAATTCTTGCAATTTTAATAGTTCCTCTCCCAAAGACATGCAGCCACCAGTATGTATGCTGGAACCCCAGCCTGGTTGTTATTTAATTGCACTTCTGCTGATCTGCATGACCACCAGGCTCATATTAATGTCTTTTATTTTTTCTTTTTGTACACTGAGAGCATATGCACCAAAGACAAATTCCTTGTATGTCCAATCACACTTGGCCAGTAAAGAATTATATTCTATATGGTAGTAGATGCATAAGAAGCAAAGGGTCCACACCAAAATAAACAATACCAACAAACCAATATTCAAGATTCTTTCATTTCTGGATGGCCTTATCTCTCTTGTGCCTACCACAGGCTAATTACAGATTAACAGAGTTTGAAGGGACCTTGTAGGTCATCTAGTCCACCACCACCCCTGCCCAAGCAGGAGACGCTATACCATTTCTGACAGATGGCAGTCCAGTGTCTTCTTGAAAGCCTCCAGTGATGAAGCTCCCACAATTTCTGAAGGCAACTTCTGTTCCATGGGTTGATTATTTTCACTGTCAGAAATTTTCTCCTTATTTCTAGTTTGAATCTCTTCTTGATCAGTTTCCATCCATTATTCCTTGTCTGGCCTTTGGGTGCTTTGGAAGATAGCTTGACCCCTTCCTCTCTGTGGCAGCCCCTCAAATATTGGAAGATGCTATCATGTCTCCCCTGGTGCTTCTCTTCACCAGACTAGCCATGCCCAGTTCCTGTAACCGTTCTTCATATGTTTCAGTCTCCAGTCCCGTAATCATCCTGGTTGCTCTTCTCTGCACTTTTTCTAGAGTCTCAACATCTTTTTTATAGTATGGTGACTGAAACTGGATGCAATATTTTAGTCTTGGTCTTACTAAGGCTTTATAGAGTGGTGTTACTACCTCACTTGATCTTGATTGAATCCCTCCGTTAATGCAACTTGAGGATTGTATTGACTTTTTTGGCTGCTGTCACACACTGCTGGCTCATATTTAGCTGGTTGTCCACTAAGACTCCCTTTCACAGTTACTGCTATTAAGCCTGGTTTCACTCGGTCTTTTCTTCTCTTTCCACCATCAGGTACCAAAGTGCTTGAAGTGAAAGAGTGGTTCAAGAACCGCGAAGACAAGTTGGACATTCGAGAATTAAATAAGCAAACCAACATCATAGCAGAGCAATTCCTACCTGGACATGCCCTGGGCCTGAGAGGTATCTCGTACAACGAAAAGCCTTGATTCTTGGCAAGGAAGGGAAGAAAGATCTTCTGCCTTTAGCATGGACATTCCTTCCTTCTTATTTGTTTATTTGATTTGTATCCTTTTTTTAAAAAACTTTATAAATTACTAAAGTAGCAAACTATCAGACACAAGAAATCAGGAGCCAGGATAGAGTTCAAAAGTACTATGAATGTATTTCCTACAAACTATTCACAAGAACCTGGTCTAACTAAGGGTCAAGGCAAATTAGAACGCAAGAAGAGTCAACAGACTTCCAGGGCGGCTGGATGTTGGTCTCTTATGGTGGCATAGAGGTTCCAAACTGATGATGCGTTTGACCCTGCCCTCGGGCTCAGACCGGTCATCTCCTACACAAACTTGCTAATACTCCTTCCGTCTGTTTTCCCCACAAAAACAAGCCGGTGAGGTGGGATGGGCTGAGAGAGAGTGAGAAAGAGAGACAAAGTCATTCAGTTGGCTTTCGTGCTTAAGATGGGACTAGAACTCACCATCTCCTGGTGATTGGCCCAAAGTCACCCAGCTGGTTTTCATGCCTAAGATGAGACTATAACTGAGGTGGTTGCTAAACGAGGACCATCAGTATTTTCAATCTTGTTTTGTCATTCCTATTTATTAGTGTGTTTGAGGAATTCAAAATGGCAGCACCAATAGCAGCCTCAGTGAATTCAATGCTCTCTGATAGTTTTGTTGTTTTTAAACAATTCCCACAACACTGTCAAACTATTTAGTAAGACTGTATTAATATTCTTCTTCTTATCTTTCCTATTACCTATCTCATTTTCTACTTATGACTATAACTTTTGTTACTTGTATCTTTATTATTTATATTGTTTTATTTAGTTTCCTAGTACGATTTGATTATATAGTATCCTATGATTATCAGTAAGTGTTGTATCTTATGATTTATGATAAATGCATTTTTATGACTGTGATCATATTTATCACTTATAGCTTCTATGTACAATGAAAACTTATGCACTGAAGACAAATTTCTTATGTGTCCAATACACTTGACCAGTTAAGAATCCTATCCTATCCTATCCTATTTTCTGTTCAATTCCACTCCACTCTACTCTACTCCATTCCATTCAATTCTGTTCTGTTCTTTCACTGCCTACTCCCTTGAGTGTTTTGTATAAAGTGAGATTAAAAAGAAATACACAGATAGTCCTTGATTTACAACAGTTTATTTGGACCAATGTTGGAAGTTACAACAGCACCAAAAGAAAGTGACTTATGACAATTTTCCACACTTACAACCGTTGCAGCATCCCCATAGTCATGTGATCATCAGCTGTTCTGTACAGTCTCTAACTGGAGATTCCATCCTGGACCTCTCTTTGCTTTCCCAGCACATATGTACAAGACCATGGAACCGGAGACCGAGCGCACGATGGAGTTCTACAACGAGACACGGGTGGACGGCCTTCAGAAACGCACAGAAACTTCCCAAGAGATGGCAGAGTATTTTGAAGGCCGCTTAGATTTTCTTAGCTACCGTCATGCCGAGTTTGGCAAAAGAATCAAGAAACTTACCAAGAAGATGGCTACCACTGAAAGCAATGCCCGGCCAATTTTGGTAAGAACAGCTCATTGGTTGATGTCCCCTAGTCCTTCAGAGACAAAACTTAGGAAGTAGGAAGCCCCTAGTAGGAACCTTTTGAGAAGGGGTCTTTTGAGGAGGGGTATTGTTGTCATAGATGTCCAGTTCCATCTAAGTGGGTTTCCGTGGATATGCAAGTTTCTTCTAAGCAGATTTAATCCACAATAGAGATGGTTACTCTGAACAGTAGCATCTTACCTTCTTCTGTCGAAGATACACCTGTTGGGAGAAATATCCATCTGATTCAGTTCCAAGCTAGGAGAAAGACACTGGAAACATGGAGGCTGATTGGAAAAATGGTTTAATGGGAGGTCTTCAAGAAAAGACAAACATTTCTCTGAGATGGTATGAGGACTTCTGCCTTGGGCAGGGGGGTGGACTAGATTAGAAGACCTCCAAGGTCCCTTCCAACCCTATGATTCAAGGACTTTATGATTGCACAGATATTAGTCACTGACAAAACAATGATCTGCCTGCAATTTGGCAGAATGAATCTCACCAGGCTCAAGGTTGACT